CAGCAAGGACTCAGCTTTGGTAAATGGGTCGCCAGCTCTACCCACTGAGCTAACCGGGCGCCCACATTTAGTAATCTTTTATGTAACAGTTGATTTAAGAACTTGTAGATAACGTGCTTATAATAGGTAATCCATCATAGTAAACATCAGTAGGAATCAGTATTTTTTTTGGCAGCGTTAATTTATGATCACATAATGCAGATTAGAGCAGGGTATGTTTTAACTAAGTCTGATAGTGGCTCTGTCAGGTTTTTTTCCCCCTATGGTGGTGAAGTCATGACCCGCCCCCTCTGCCTCTGATTGGCTAGTACTCATTGCCATCATTGGTTTGATTGGTTAGGTTTGAGCATGAGGAATGATGGTGGTGCTAGAGGGAAGGTTAAGTGATCTCCTGCTGGGGCATGAATGTACCAAATTTCATGACGGTTCATTAAAACCACCATCTTCCAACTTCATGGTTGTGCCAGAGGAAATTGGTGGTTATTTGTGCCAATCATTCTAGTAGATGTTGCAGTAATTCACCAGATACCTTCTAGGTATGATTCATCCTCTGGGGGATACATATGTCTGAACTACTATGTATTTAGATATTTCAGTCTGGATAAAGGACTGACTGATAGATATTGACAGCGACTGCCTAGAGTTTTATAGCTAGATGCTTCTCCAACAACTCTCAACTAACATTAGTACATTGGGCTGCTAAGAATCATAACATTCAAATGAGTTGTTGCAAAATCAAAATGGAATAAAAAAAAAAAACCACATTCATTGGGAAAAACACATATTGTAAATAATGAGGTTTCTGGTTTTTTTTTTTTTTTTTTACATGTTGCTTTCTTGAGTCTCAGATGTTGATTATGTAACTGTAAGAAAATGTGAACTAAATATTGACTGTGATTGATTACCTCTCTTAGGATTCAGGTCTCTGCATGTTGATTTTTATGTACTGACACAGACTTGGCGGCCTGGAATCTAGGAAAAAAGCCAGTAAGGCATGATATATATTCTTTTAATCCTCAGCAGTTAATGGGCTAAAACATGCAAGACCACCTGACATGCTTTATTATACAACTGGAAAGAACAACGAATGCAAACATTTGGTTCCAACATGAGGGGCTCTCTAGAAAAGACGCTAACCAGTGCCAAGGCAGTGCTGCCAGTTTTCTGAAGCAATCTAATTATAGAGGCTCTGGCAAACTATCTTTAATGATGCAATGGCTGCTAACTAAAAAAGTTTTGCGTGTCTCCCTGCACTTGACTCCGTCGCTCTCTTGTCAGTTGTGTTTTGTGGTGCGGGATGGAAACAGCAGCTGCTCATAAGTATTCATTAGTCCTTCTTATGGATTAGCCGAGACAAAATGTGAGAGTGTAGATTGGACTCCACACTGTGCTGCCTCCTCCAGAACACAGCGGGCTCTTCTCTCCTCTCTCTGAGCACTAACCACAGCTGTTCAACACCACTTGACTTTTCCAACAACAATGTTCTCAGATGGATGTGGCCACTTTTGTTCCTCCTTGCCAAAACATTGGTCCGACTTGTTTTATTCTCTTCTTTATAATGTCTTTGTCTCTCTGTGGTGTGTGTGTGTGTGACTGTGACAAAAACAGTGATGAGACACTGTGGAGGATAATGTTTGTTGACATTGGTTGTTATGGTGATTGCCCTGGATTTTTTGCCAGTCATTGGCTCCGATTTTGCACGTGCAGCTTAGTCCAGTAAGCCCCATATTTCAACATTTTATCAGCTGGCATATTCCCACACATACTTACTCATTTGGACAACTTGGCTGTTTTTCTGTGAAGAAAAGAAAAAGATGTCTGTCTTTCTCTCACCATATTCCCCCCCCCCCCAACTTGGAACACATGCAGCATGTATCGGTTGCATTGTGTCTCCCATTCAGGACAGCTGCATTGGCTGGCTATCCCTGAGATCTCCTCTATGCCCACATACACGCCCCACGCACCCATGCATACACGCACCACAAGGCCATAAGTCACCCTCTCTACACCACCTTCCCCCTCCTCCCAAACACACATGTACCCATGTCATCGCTGCGCTTGTTCCATCGTCTCCGCCCTGTTGTGCCTGAGCTAACTCTACTCTACTATTCACTCTGTTTCCATACATTCCCCCTTTGACGACTCCCCATTCCAATTTTCTGTCACTACAGCTGTGTGTCAGCTGTCAGCCTGTCCCAGTCTCTAGTCAGAGATGAAGCCGAAACACAGAGGGTCTACAGGGAAGACAGCCTGGCCCCTCTGTCTCTCCCAGCTGTCACTCCCACTTCAGACTTCCACTTATCATAGTTTCTGTCCTCCCTCTTGTTTCACCACTGGAAGTCTTCCTCAAACACGTTCAAAAATAAAATATGCACAAGGGATTGAGAAATGAAATGGGCTTATTTTTTCTGTATGAATCAAATATTCATTTGGTAAAATTGTGTTTGTGTTGGACAAAAAGCACAAAAGTTTTTTTTAAAGAAGAAAGCACTGAGTACTGTCATTTTGAAGATATTGTAGATCTGCACTCAGTTTGTTAGCTACACCTTGCTGAAACTGATACAGTCTAATACAGCAGCCTTACTGTAAATCCTACCTTCATGTAGGTTATATTGTTCAGTTTCTGTTGAAACTTTTGAGAGGTGTTGATTCAACTGAATGATCATTTTCAAGGCTTTAGTTTGTCGTTTCGTCATCTGTATATCACATAATTCAACAGGACCACACAGTCCATAATGATTATTTAGTTGAATCAACACCGCTCTTAATCTTAACAGTAAAACCTTCATAAAGATGTTGTACTGCAAGGCTGTTGTACTAGACTGCAGGAGTTTTGCAAGATGTATCCAATAAAGTGGCAAGTTGTAGGTGTAGGAGTGTAGGTGTTTTGTAAGTTTTATGCTCTCAAGGATCTTTTAAGTGACTCAACAACACATGCAAAATGTCTATGATGTGGTGTTATAAGCAAATGTTGCTTTGTACGTTAAGCCTAACTAATGTTGTTGTCCCCATTACCGTCCAAATACCTAACGACATCTGTAAGCCATTCTGTTCTCCTCCCTCAGCAAATTGGCCTTGCCATTTCTTCACTCCATTTAACAGTTTCCATATGTTTGTTAGGCTTATTCCCAAACCCAGAGCATCCTCCACCGGGTTGCTCCAAAATACACTTTATTCCTATTAACGGGAAAGTAGGCCTTTGAAAATTAGTTAAATTTGGAGAAATTTTGGGCATTTCAAATACAGAAGAGAATAAAATACTCCCTGGAGTAATGGGACCGGCTAATTATATACCATCCCGCTCAATTACCAAGCTGTTTGTACCCTTTTCTAAAGGCCAGGCAAAGTATATTGTAATCACCTGCATTCTGCTGCCCAGAGAAAACAAATTATCGTGTGAAAAGTGGCCCCTTTGTTGTAATGTGCTTTGTGCCTTGCTCCTCTGAGGCCCATTGCTGAGCTCCGGCCATGCATATAATGTTGAAGAACAAATGAGTGTGAGACCATGCTCTGTGCTTCGGAATAAGAGGATTTGATTGCGGAGTTGAGTTATGCGATGGAGATGGTGAGGGCCCTGTGAACCCAGCAGCCTGAGGCTGTAGCTGTGTGTGTGTAATATAGTATAATATGTGTGTGTGTATATGTGTTGTAATAATAATTGTGTATATATAATATAAATATGTGGGCGGCGAAAATAAACAAAAATCATTTGTGTTCATGTGATTTGTGCGGATTCAACCCCAAAACCTGAAGTGGATGTAGCTGTAAATATCTGTTTTTCTTGGGCGTCCTGGTAGCTCACCTGGTAAGAACATTGCGCCCCAATATATCAAGAGCAGAGTCCGTTAATCGCAGTGACCGCGTGTTTCATTTCATTTGCTGCATGTCATCCACTCTTCTCTCCCCTGGCCTTTCCTGTCCACCCTCTCCAAGCTGTTCAAGCCTGTCTAATAAAGCATACAATGCCCAAAAAAGCTTTAAAAAATAAATACATGTCTTTTTCTGCGACAGGTATGCCTGTGGTCATCAGTGTGTCTCCGGACAGGTAACCAGGTGTGTTACTGCTGTCATGGCCTCGCCAATCCTGCGGCTGTTTCCTGTCACTGTGCTCACAGTCCTTGTAGTGCTGGTGTCGTCTTCAGTGGACCATGAGTGGCACTTTAACCCAGGTAGGATGTCATATACACGCATGCAACAAAGAGAATCTAAATTGGTGATTGGTAAATTGTTACCTCAATTTTGTGTTTTCTCTCATCCCAAAAACTGCCACATTTATCAACAGTTTGGCAGTTGCCACATTACAAGGTTGTTTTTCATTCCTACAAACTCAGACATGCTTGTTTCTTCCTCTCTCTTCCTTGTGTCCACGGACACAGCCATCGTCCGTCCTGCTGCTCCGGCATTCTCCTCACATTCTCAGATCAGTAAGGCTCGTTCTCCATCCGCTATCAACAGGCTATCCTATGTCCTCTCCCTGTCTGCCAGCCAGTCGTGTGTAATAGGAGAATGAGGTAGCTGGGCGGTCCCCCCCCCCCCGGCTCGTCAAGACTGCTAATGCACAGGCAGCTCATGAAAGTGTCAGTCAAAATGTCGGGGAAGGGAGCGCATGAGGGGTTAGTGAATGAGAGCCAACCAGGTGTAACCAGAGGAGACTGTTTGCAGCGCGGTCGACCTTCTGACTGCAGCAGCTACACCGTGAATAAGACAAAGAAGAAGTATTGATTGTTGTTGAATTATTATGTTAATTATTTTTGTCTATTCATCAAACCAGCAAATTCTTGTATGTGAGAAACTCCATCCATTGAATGTTTAGAATATTTAGCTTGATAAATGAGTTAAATTATTAATAGATTATCCTAATTAGAGCTGAAACAATCAGTCATGTCCGATTAATCAATAGTAAACATAATCATTTGTAGCATAATTCATTTAAAATTGTTGTGGGTTGTTGAACTACTAATTGATTTATTGACTAATCATGTCAGCATTAAATAATCTAAGATTTGTCCCTTTATTGATGTAAGGGAAACAGTTGGAGATGGCGGAACAGACTGAGGCAGAACACACAAACACAGACACACACACTTTGTCTTCAAGCTAGACAGTGTGAGCAAAAAGGTTTAGTGCGTGGGCTAAAGTTTTATGAAAAATAACAAAAAGAGAAGGCGAAAGCAGAGGACTCAGAGAGAGGTAAAAAATATTGCAGATGGGGGAGATGACTGGCGATGTGTGAGGAGGATGATGATGATGTAATGAAATGGGCACCTGTCTGCAGGGTGTGGATGAACTCTGTGTGTGTGTGTGTCTGTGTGTGTGTGTGTCTGTGTGTGTCTATCTGTGTGTCTCTGTCTGTGTCTGCAGGACATGTTGGGGTTTTTAGGGTTTGTCATCCAGCCCAACATTCCTGTCCGCTGACTCAATGACAGAAACTGAGTTAGACGCCCACCCCCGCCTCTTTCTGTCACCCTCCATATCACTGTCAGTACCCCTTTCCACTTTATCACTACCCAAACCCTCACCCTCTCACTCCCCCCCTGCACCACCATCTCCTCCTCATGACTGACTTCAGAGTGGATAGCTGGGTCGTTGGGTAATCCCTGCCTGGGACCATGCTATCTGGATCATTTGATAACGCTGTCGCTGGAGCGGAGTCAGCACAGCTATCTGAGACCTGTCTGTGTTCTTTCATTCGCCCTTCGTTTCTTTCCCTCTTTTGTTCTCTTCCTCCAAATCCCCAAGCAGTGGTAACCGGAACAGAGACTGTGCTGGATAGCACAGGAAAGGTGTAGTCTCAGAGAAGACAGGTCAAGAGGTCTCACAGGGGGCCACTGGTTACAATAAAGATGCAGAATTTTAATGACTGTCACTTTTTGATGACTTGCAGGAACGAGTGATGCAAAACAGACTACCCTGAGAGATTCTGTAACAAATAAGAGAACAGGAACATTTTACTGTAGAGTTTGGCATTTTTTCTCCTTCTCTCTGTCTGTGTGGGTTATGAAGCATGAAGTCCGGAAGTTTTCCCAGAGATGACATAACAACATTATGCTCCGTGACCAATGATGGCTGCTGACACTCTAATGGAAATATTAAGTTTCCACTGGACATGTGCTCCATACAGATGAGAATATTGCTCATGTCTCTCTCTCTTTCTCTTTTTCCTCACAGCTCAGTGTCGTTACGCCCTGGGGATGGAGGATGGCACCATCCCAGACTCTGACATCACTGCCTCCAGCGCCTGGTCAGACTCCACTGAAGCCAAACATGGAAGGTAGGAAATGTGTGTGTGTGTGCAGGGTAGAAACCATAATAACCAAGTGCCTTTTGCTATAGTTTTTGTGTGGTTACAGTCAAAAAACTGTAACTCTGCTTAAAGAGTAACTTAACAACAGGTTGAAAAGCAGTTTTAACTGTTTCTGATCACACTCAGCATCACTAATGGGTGTCTGCTCTGTTGCATCATACAACTTGTCCAACAACATGTTTTTCTAACAGAACACAATGAGGAATGGCAGAGTGGAATAAAAGGCCGTAAGTGTGGCTTCATTTGACAAAGGAACTCAAACAACTATAACTCTACTCTGTTTCTGCACTGTGTTCAGACGCCGAGATAATAAAACATTTGTGTTGTTGCTGAAAGCCAGTGTAAGAATTGGGCTAATAAGTAGAGTCGATAATGGCATTGGTATCAATAA